TCGTGTGTATATATACACATAACACGTGGCCCGGACAGTGAGAATCTCGCAACATCCAGCGCAGAGCGACCGTCGAGAACGACTCGCACCACATCTGTAAGCCAATTTAAAAACTTGGAAAAATTGTTTAGGCGCTAAAATGTAGTAATTTAACGTTATCGCTCACGTGCGCGTAGCCCATAAAAAGTAGCTGCTCGTGAGTATAATCGCTGAACCCTGGAAGGAGTGCTTCAGGTTTGTGCTTGGACTTCCAGACTTGGTAGGCGTCGTATGCTTGTCTCAAGCCACCGTTGTCGGCTATGTTTTCGCCCAAAGTCAACTCACCGTCAATGTACTCGTCGATCTGAAACAAAACGTGCAATCACTCACAGTTATATTAAGTATATTCCCTAATTTCCTTCTATAAATACTCGTGTGATATTACCTCTGGAACGTAGTACGCGCTGTACTTATCGATGAAACAAGTAGTCTTGTCTGCGTAATTCATGATAGTTTCGTTGCTCCACCACTGCTTCATGTTTCCTTTGCTATCGAACTTCCTGCCGCTGTTGTCAAACCCGTGGGTCAACTCGTGTCCCAAAATCGTTCCAATGGCCCCGTAATTCAAAGCTCTGTGGTGACAAAAAACACATTACCATCAACATACCAAAGTCACGTTTAATCTTTCATTACATAGTAAATCATAGACAAGTTTATGCGTGTATACATCATCTCATAGTGTGCATTATCATTGTCGTTCACTCAACACCTACAATAAAGCCGTACTGCGTTACTACTTACTCGAGACCTAATCCATAAAAGGGAAACTGAAGGATTCCAAAGGGTATCACTGTATGTTCAGACAGTTAAAATCAGGTCAGATTCATGTTAGTTATTTTTATTAGTCACTGGTGTGGCTCAAAGATTTTTGTGTCTCTATTCACGTAATGTTAGTAAAACAAATAATTTTGGCCCTCCCGTGGATCCTTCGATAATTACCTATTTGATTTTCCTGAAAGTTATGCAAGGCGTTGACCTCCGTGGGCTCGACGCGCCATCTGAAAAATACAAAATATAAGGTATCTTGGTATCTGCGCGGACGAAGCTTACGATGTTTATTCCACGTACATGGGCTCGTTACTATCCGACTTGTTGGTCAAGGAGCACAGCTCGTAGTAATTGACGATGCGGATTATTTGCACCATGTTCTCAAAGTATCTCGTCGTTGACATGTTCATCTGCAATTATTTTCAGTTACCCCGAGGACTCGAGTGAAATTTTTTGCATTTCCCGTAAACAAAGAAAAAATAATAACAACTTACTCCTCGGTAATAGTCGTTAAGTAAAATTTCTTCGAAAAGCCATTCGGGATAGGCAATGAGGGACCTCATGTTTCTATTTTTTTCCATAGTTGCCTGTTTCGTCCTCTTGTCCATCCAGTCGACGTTCGAGACATGTTTCGAGAAGGACGTTTTTATGTTTTTCAACATTTCGTAAACTTGGTTGCTGGATCCGTCCTTCAAAAACATCGGATTCACGTATAGCCAGGCAACAGCCATACCTGCACAACGTGGTTTTATCAAAAGTTCAATACACCTTTTTACGCGTTTGTCTCGCGCGAGATTAAAAAATCGTACCCATCAAATCGTTGACATTTTCGGCACAAAAAGTCGACCACGAGCGCTCCGACGAACCGGTCAACTCGTTTACGTACGAATGCCAGATTTTTCTCAACTCCTTCGAGGAGTAAGGCACGCAATGATCCACCACAATCCACCAAATAGCTGTTTCTGTTGAATAAAATCATATTTGTGAAAAAAAAGCGCGAAATCGCATCGTTTCACCTTAGATAATTAGATACACGTCACCTAACAGATTGTCCTCGGTCTCGGCTAGTATGACTGATATTTGTTTGAAGTACTCCAAGTTGGTCACCAAAACCTTTTCAGTTTCGAGATCAAATTCGTCAATGATTTTCAAAAATTCCTCGAAAAATGGTTTCCAAACAATTTTCGGCTCGAGACTTTCGTTAACCGATTTGACGTACAAGTCGGTTTCAAGCTGCAAATCGTCGAGCAGCATGTAATTGTCGTCTCCAATGTCCTGCATGTCTTCCGTCTTGTTCTGATAGCTCTTCGATATCTAAAAACGGTTGTTTATCGCTCAAGTGAAAGTAAAAAAAGAGAAATTACAACTAACGTGTTTATATTTTACCACATAAAATTGTCCGCTCAGATCAAAGAGTTTATCCACAGTTTGGTCGATCTCCTCTTCGGGTACCAACATAAATGGTCCTCTCGACTTGCACGACGGCTCGTCGGTCGTACCGTTGCTTATCATTTGCTTCATTATCTCGGACATGTAAATTTTCTCGGCTAACGAAAAATTCGCCGATTCCTCATCCACTTCGTCGACAAACATGTCTCGCGCTCTCTCTCTTACTTTTTTCAGCCTCTTTTCCAATATTTTTTCGCTGCGCACACAAATGTAGTTGAAAAAAAAAAAAAAGAAAAAAAAAGTCACGAATCGTACAAAGTTTGCAAAATGTACCTACCTTGGAAATGGGTTCTGTCGATTTGGAAGGTCAAGCACAAGTGTGTTTCTGCTGCTGTTTTTTGGATCGGCAGCGACGTACACGCCGAAGAATATGTCCGCCCAGAGGATCCGTTTCGTCATTGCGAGTTGCTTCACGAAATCGGTCGTGTTCTTTGTCAGCGACGAAGGGATTTTCGGCAGGCCAATGTCGTTCAGGAGATCGAACAATGGCTCGAGTCCCAATTCATCTCGAGACTCTGCCGATTTTTTCCCAAAATTTGTAAAATGAAACATTTTACGAGAAGCGTCAATATTCAAAAAGTGTTATTTAAATTGAAGACTTATTCCAAGTTTTCTTACAGCTCAATATTATATTTTAAAAAGTTTTATACTATTTGCGGATTTTAATCTGAAACTAACTAACTAACAAGTCATTATGACAGTAAATGTCAAATTAATAAAATAAAATCATTACTACACACTAAAAAACAATTCATCGGCCATTTTACAACGATTTTCGACATTTGAAGAGAAAAAGAAAAAATTTCAAAAATATGTTTCAATAAGATCTATAAGTTTTGTTAAAACAAATATCAAAATGATTTTTCGTCTATTTTAATTCAATTTTCTTGTTTAAAGTGTTAGAACAATATGGACGAAAACGGTCAGTAAAAAAGTGTATTTTTATAAGATCTACAAATGTTGTATACAACATTTTGTCTATAAATGTAATTTTTTCCCTTTTTTGTGGTGTTTCTTTGAGATCCATAATTTTCTTGTTGAACGCAAACGCGTTAAAAGTTATAGATGAAAAACTATATTTTCTTCTTCGGAGAAATGAAGTCAAAGTGTCCGGGGTTTTGTTCTCATAATTCGCACCATCAGTTTGGATTTAGAAGGTCTAAAAATTGGTCTAAAAAATGTAAGCTCGATCGAATAACGATTACTTGAAGTAATGAAAAAGCTTGATCGCGTACATATGTCCACCCATACATACATCAAAATATACCCTCTCATAGGCTTCAAAATTGGTTTTTCGTCGCAAATACTTAAATGATTCACGAGAGGTTACGCTTTTTACCCCGATAAAATTATAAAGGCAGGCTTCGGTCGAGCCTAAAAATACGTACATACACGGCTATTCATTTATCAATAGCCTTTTTCAATGAATAATAAATGCGACCCGTTTTGAACAATCAATATTGATAAAGTTTAAAAAGTTGAAGGGAATCAATGGAGGGGGGGGGGAAACTTACGGACATCCATGCAGCTTTGAAACAATGTTTGGGCCTCCCTGACGGCCCAGGGAATGTCACTGTCGTTAAAGCGCTTCATCAGCAGATTCCTGACTCTTTTGGAAATCTGCGAGCTTTTTTCCATGAACCAACTGTTCTCCTCGGACAAGTCCAAGTACGGGTGCGATTGCGGCCACCTCCCACAAACGTATCTGCGTACGGGGGGAGATAGTCGATAATGAGCAACTAGCGCCAAAGTATATTTTAAACGAGTTGTTTAGAGAAAAAATGGGGTTTTACTCGTAAAAGTCATCGCACGGATCGATCGAAGTGTTCATCGTTTCTTTGAAACTTGCCGCTGATCGGTGGAAAAAATGGAAAATAATTATTATGCTGTCGATGCGATGGTTATTGCGGTTGGATCGATGCAAGTGAATCGATGCTTTCAAACAGGTGATATAATTATTATTATTTTTTTTTTAATTTTAGGTAGAAAATGACATACCTATGCGCAAACAGTCTTCGTTGTCGCACAAATCCACGGTTTCGGTGGGTGTGAACTTGGCATCTAAACAAGAGTTGTGCATACATAACAACGTGCCGAGGGCAAATGTAATTCTAAAACTGATTCTCGTCAATCAATTACATAAACATTGGTACTCACAAAAAACCGAGATGATAACTACGGCTACGGCTAACAAAGCTACGATAAACGCTAGTATGTATAAGAGTAGGTCTTTTTTTCTAAATTTTTTGTAACTGAAATAAGGAACACAAATATGTAAGATGATGGGCTAATTATCCTTCAGGTGTGGCACGCAACATCTAAAAATCACACTTAGCGAAAGATAGTGATGGGTACACTACCTATGTAGCTTTTTTTTTTAAATTTTATTTTATTTGATGGTGAAAATAACATTGTATAAAGTTGGTGATGGAAAACGACAAATGGTGGAAATACTTACACAGACCTTTTCGATTTCACAGCAACTACGTTTCTTTCGCTCGTAATCGTGTATACCGATTGCGAGCGCGACTGCACCTCAGCTGTCAAACAAAACAAATATTCATTATGGGCTTGTGACTCCAATAACTATCCACTAAGTTGGAGATCATATAATTAAACTGAAAAAATCGGCTGTTCGCCATCCGAACGACATGTTCCAGTAAACAAGTCACGTGATCTCCGACTTACTGGGCAGAGTTACTGGAGACACACTGGAAAATATTAATACTCGTACATTGATTTACACAAATATACATATGTGTAGAGGTGTAAGAATGAACAAGAAAATCAATTATATCCACACGTAGCTGGGAAGTATCGGGAAATCGTGCATACCGATCTATTGGTACTCGGAAGAAAAAAATAGTAAAAAACGAAACGGTGACTGACTGTCAAAATGACTGGGCAGTTCCTCCTTTGCACGAAAAAAAAAATTTGTTCACCAATTATTTAAAACAAATCTAGATAACTATACGTATTTCTCGAAGCAACGAAACGAAAAATCGTCGATTCCGCGTAAAAACCGGTACCAAATGAAAAAGCTGTGATCGGGTGACGGGAAGGGGTTGAAAAACTCTCGGAACTCACCGCGAAGGTTGTTGGTGTCGTTCATGCTGAACGGCTCGATCGTCGGGGCTGACTGGTCGCGCTCGATCCGAAGCTGCACCACCGGGGACCGGGGCACTACACCGACCGCGAGTTTCCGATGTTGACGCTGCTGCGCATCGATCAACCGATTAAAATCCAACGGCCACTCGCGCCCGTCATATCGTCATATACCTACTCGAAAGAGAGTCAGGGGCGACGATTTCCTCCGAATCGATACCCCGTGTACGGACAGCTGTTTGCGCATAAGTATATTGCCCACACGTACGGCTTGACGCGCATGAATGAGGCAGGAGCGCCGGTTTACCCTCCCGCTGTGCTTGTGTTTGCACAACTATTACTCTGGGACTCCCGATCGTGTCTCTTTTTCGTATCGAACTGATTCGCTGCTCCACCTTGTCTGGGCAAACATGTACGGATTTTATTGCCAACAGGCCTTTTTTTTATGCGTTTTCATACAGTACATGCACGGGTACTTTTGCATTTGGAGCTTTTTACTTGTAATGTGTTATTACAACCGGCACCTGTTGTAGTATGAACTTGAAAGTCGAGTGCAACAACATTCGTACATACTGCACGTGTTGGTACTTTGAATGTCCCTGAAAATGAGTGCGAGAGTGAACATTATACATAATCGATAAATCTATATCTACGTTTTTGTACATTTTCAATTATCTGACCTTCGCGGTGCTCATGTAGTAAAACTGTTTTATTTGCATACGCGTTTATATGCCCATTGCAACGAATCCATTCGTAGCCCTTCAATTTTATTTGACTTGCAATATTGAAAAGATGCTAATTTTAATTACGAGAGAACCCCCCCCCTTGTACGTTTTTTTTT